CGGTACAAATACTAAAAAGTGATAACTAGTTTTCGCAGTTCTATATTATTATTATAATTATTATTTGAAGATAAAGACAGCAAAACACACATATATACATACATATATATATATATATGTGTGTGTGTGTGTGTTCAAATTTTAATGGGAGTAGAGCGTTAGTAAAATATACACATATACAAAGTTATCAGCATATAAATTGAGACACGTATCAGATAAAGGAATCAACACATATGTAGTAGAGAAATACCTGTCATATATATATATATATATATATATATATATAGATAGATAGATAATATTAGCGGTTAATACACACACACATATATATAATATATATATAAATATGTATATATATACATACATACATACACATACATATATATATATAATATATAAATATATATATATACACACACACACACACACACACACACACATATATATATATATATATAAATTTCCAAGAGGATAAAATCCAGGTAGAACTCAATGTCCAGGACAGAGTAAGAATATAATAAAAGGCTTAAACACTAATCTTTCATGCTTATAATTTATTACATTTGAATCGTAATTACGATCCAATTCATCAGACTTGAATTTGTCGGTCTGATAAATTAAATCGCAATTACGATTCTAATGTAATAAATTTTAACCATAGAATATTAGTGTTTTAGCCTTTTCACTCTCCCTCTATCTATCTCTCTCTCTCTCTCTATATATATATATATATAATATACATATATAACGTCATCCACAGACAGACTGTTTCGCTGTTTACAGCTCATCGGGGTGCCTCGTGGCGGTGTAATGTTTAGCAAGCTTGTCTCGCTAAAACAATTTCGACTGAGTTGTGAGTTCGATCCTCACTGTTTGCAACCCTACGTTCGGCCTTGTGCCAGACCTAAACTACGCTTGAGAGATCACTACAAATGAATGGGTGACAAATATTCCAGACGTAAGAAGAATTATGAAAAATCATTTTTAATTTATGCACACACGCACTCTGGATTATATCCTCTTTGGAATTTGGAAGTATCCATACGGATTAGTAAACACATCATTAACTCTCTCTCTCTATATATATATATATATATATATATATATATATATATATATATATATATATATATATATATATATTCAGTTGTATGGATATGAGTTTAGAACCCTGGGCTTCACGCTTCTGTGATAGTTAAGATAAGTTTCTAGGAATATTCGGTGGATAGAGGGATATTTTTCAGCGAGTATCCTAAGTATATAAATTATTTTCAGATAGTGTATATCCGTGAAGGAACGAAATGAATAAAAAGACAAGAGGAAAAACTATTCTTAGCCTATGCGTTTCGTCCTCTGGACGAAACGCGTCATCAAGTTAAACGTAAGATTTTTTTATTGCACGTGTTTATATGTGTTTATATAAATAATATTCAAGAGTTTATTTTTTTAAACCATTATACACTACTCTAAAATGCTGAAAGACTGTCATCTTATTTTAAGAGATATATTTACCAAAATTACACCAAAACATCTTGAAATAGTAAAGAATAAATTTACTAAATAAAATTGCCATTGGCTTTAACTATGGCCCCCAGACGACATCAGAATCTCCTACAACTCTTCTGGACGGTCACATTGTTTAGGTTGGTGAATGCTACCATAATCCTTGCCTTCAGTCCGTCTTTGTTTTTGCAAGGAGTTTTGTTGGTCTCATGCTCAACTGCGCCCCACACATACTAATCAAAGGGGTTGCAGTTTGGAGAATTAGGCGGCCAGATGTAAGGGGTGATGTGTTCGCAGAAAATGTCTGAAAGCCATGATTTGATTTTCCTGCTTTTGTAGCATAGTGCATAGTCCTGTTTCCGCACATAGGGTCATTCAGCAGCCCCTTGATCTAGGTCAGAACTACCTCCCCAAGGCACTTGATGTTAGCATCCGTGTTGACTCAGGCCCTTCAAGAAGATGAATTGAGGCCTAACTTCACCATCATTATTGATCATTCCAAAGACCTTCGTAATCACAATTAGAATCACCCAACTCTTTCTGTATCCTCTATACTATCCTCAGATTGAGACCTAGACACGCTGAAATGTTCGTATTGGAGCTTCGGGCGCGAATTCCAAGCAACACAACAGGCCGTTCCCAAATTTCTGGCGGAATGATTGCGTCATGCTGCTCTTTTTTCACAGACAGTACCCAGTTTACCCATCGCACCATATACTTGAAGAGGTTAAAATTGTTGTGATTGGAAAAACATCCTCTTGGAAGTCGGTTCCACAGAATCGTGGTCCACAGAAAGAAGCTGCTCGAATGGAGCTTACTTCACAAATGGAATACAGTGGGAATGGAATGGTTCGCTAAAATAGGCGTAGCATGGTGGATCTTAGCCGTGAAGTTTAGAACTGGTGGAACTAAAGAATGTAGTTCGTCGAGCACTTTTCATGTAATTAGCGATACAGCAGGGTCGAGCTTGTACCTTCTCGTCCGTGAGAATGGGTTGATAGGATGGAAAATAATTTGCAACACACAAGGACACGCTTTTAGACGCTAACGAGCCTGGGAAGTGAGGACTGGGCAAATCCTGCCCAAATATGACAGCAGTTCTACATGTTAGGCTAGAGGATAGCACGAGGAGTCAGGCACTTACTGGAACGGTCCAGGGAACACTGATCATTTTTTCTGACTCTAACGTTCGTGTTCCAGCTGGGTTGAGTTTAAGGCCAAATAATTACACCAGGCACAGAGCCTCCCTGAGGGGACATCCATTCACCACGACTCGTATCAGTTCAAAGTTTTATCTTCCTAAGTTCAAATTGCACTGATGTTATCCGCTCATCAGGGGTTTACATAGTCAAGCAGAATTTATTAACATATAACGTATATTGCCTAAACGATACAAATTTAAAGTCACAAAAGTTTGTTTTTTTAATGTGTCTTCTTTTCATCAGAGTTTAGAACTGGCCACACATTTTGGAATCATTGATGGTAGAAATACTGCATAGTGGGCTACGAAGTCTCCAAACATCCCATTCCAAAGTTTGAATTCAAAGTATTATTTCTCGTAAACAGACTGCCACTCAAGTCAAGAGATCTTAATTTGCCCTGTTGATTTAACACAATACTGCAGCAAGATGGATTCATTTTTTTCTCTTACTGAAGGCTTAATTTCCACATGTTAGGGTTGAAATTATCAAGACTCTTTATTAAATATGGGCAACGGCCACCCAGTTTTCACTTTCCAGTCTCGATAGTGTCCGAAAGCGTCTCCGCGTCCTTGTAGGTGATGAATTATTTTCGGCACTATTGCACTTTCGCACCCAACGTCCGCCATGTTTTTTTTGTTTTTTTTCCCGCGACTATTTTATTTCTCTGGTAATTTTTTTCCCTGTTTCTTATTTCTTTTGCATCATGTTGAGAACATCAAACACGCATTTTTAAGCTTTTTCCTGTTTTTCTTTATCACTGTAAAACTAAGAGTATAATTCACCAAATAACATCAAAAATAAATATTTTCACAATGGATAAAGTTCTGTGGCAATTTCATGCCAGAAGTTGAAACAAGGCGAATCACTAAACCCTTAAGCCCATATACATTCCACCAGGTATTCAGAAGTCATCCTCTGTTGGTGAGAACCATTCATGGGCTTAAATTTAGCCTGGACACTCTTTCATATTGCTTCAACTCGATCCGGGGTGACTCCAGTGTTGGGATCCACAAAGTTCTAAGTGTGGTTGACAGTGTTATGGCGGATGGGATGGGGGGTGCGAAAGTGTAATAATGTAATTAATTTTCTAACCTACGACTCCGTTTCAGCAGACGACACTTCGCAAGCCTCTCGTTGTTCTATAGCTATTTTAGTGGAAAGCGTTCACACGGAGTACCTTCCTTAGTTCCAGCAGTTATAACCTCTTCGGCTAAGATCCGACATACCACGCACATTGTAGTGAACCACCATTGTAGTGAACCACCTTCATTCCATTCGCATTCCACATAAATTCCACTCGAACAGCACCTTCCCACAAACCACTACTTTGTAGAGCCGATTTCCAAGGTGAGGCTTCCCCGATCACTACAATCCTAACCTTTTCATGAGCTTTTACAGGGTGAAAATTATTAGAATGGGTTGATACATATGTATCAGGCGTTTTTTAAGCAATATTTATTATGAAAAAAGAAACTTAACAATTCAACAATAAGATTTTTAAGTGATTATTCCGGGACGTATGATTATCGACACGCATTTTTATAACCTGAAAATAAACTAATATTTTTATTTAAAAAAAAAGTAAACAAAACAGCAATTATTATTAAGAAATAACTCGCCTACAAAAACGCTTGATAATTATACACCAACATAATAAAAATATTTCGAATGAGTTCAGTCATTATCAAGTATCAAAATCATGCGATGAATTTGTATCACTATTTTAAATGTGATGCGTTCTGTTTAAATTTTGAATGCATGTGAAGTAATGTAACGTGGTCGTGTCGTCATGCAAAAGTTTAACCTATTGCATGAAGCAAATTGTAATTTGCTATAAAATATATATTAATAACGTCTTATTTGCAGAACTATTTTCTTCATATTGTTCTTTCTATTTAGATTATTCGTGCCAATCTGCATAAGTCTCTTCATTCGATTGAATGGTTTACTTTTCTCTTGTGCCGCTTTCCCGACAGTCTGGCAATTTGGGCTCTCACGGAACTAAATTTCTTCTCTGCAACTGGAGTTTGTGTTAATTTCTGGGAATGAATCATTTGTTCCCACAAGAAAAAGTAAATACATATATGAAAAATACTTTTAAAAATTTGAAATTGGATCCTTTAATTTGTCAGGCGTGAATTTCAGGGCGGGTTTTGATACACTGACATTTGTGCTGAATGGAGTGGAAAAAAGCCACAAATCTCTCATTGATTCAGTATTTCAGAAATATTAATTATATAGGGAGGCACGGTGGAGTAATGGATAGCGGCTCAGATTGAGGAATCGGAGAGCCGAGTTCGAATTCCAGTCTAATCCATTACATTCACTTACGTGTTAACAATGCCCTTGGGAAAGGTATGAATCATTTTCTTCAACCCGGGTTCTATAACCTTGGATGAAAATGGTCTACCGCAACCTACTGCGGAAAAAAAAATCTGCCATGTCAGTTATGTATCGAAAGATACATGATCGCCTAAGCGTGTATCACGCATGACACATAACTGACTGACTAATTATATAGATGAGGATGATAAAAATATAATAATGATATTGAGTACAATGCAGAGTACACTGAGAGTGGAGAATTAATAATAATAATCGGCCACATGAAAGTATTAAATTTTTCTAATTGCCATTTATTATATAAATTATATAATAATTATAATTCTAAGTGAATATTTCGCGTTTCGGATTCTATTGGTCCTACTAGGGTCATATCCACATACATTGGCCCTAATGGAGTCATATTCGTATACATTGGCCCTACTGGAGTCAAATCCACATACATTGGCCCTACTGGAGTCAAATCCACATATATTGGCCCTACTGGAGTCATATCCACATACACTACAAGCAAAACGTTTGGGTACAATCTGAATTTCTCTTAAAATTGAGATATTTTTGTATTTTTTAAGTAAAAGATAAATTTTAGTATCTACATTGTATTTGATTTTATTTTTCAGTCTTTCTACAGGCTCCTCTTACTACTATGAACTTCAAATTTGGATTCGTCAGTCCACAATTCATTTTGCTAAATTATGAATATTTTGTATGAAAAACATTATATTTAGTTTTCACTATTATTAACCACTCAATAGACCTTTTGAGATTACTAAAACGACTCGAGATTTGATTCAGGTCAAGGGAAAAAGAACCATATTATTCGATTTTGCAAACATATTCTATAGCAACTGGTTTACGCATAATTGGAAAAAATCACCTTTCAGCCAAACAACGATCTAAATACTCTGCTAAATTATGAAAAAACTAACTCGATTAAAAAAAAAGGAACAAGATTTTGAAAATTTTGACTTGGCCGCTTCAATCTCCCGACTGTATTGGTATGGGATGAATTGTATAGTAGAGCTCGAAGATAATACTCAAAGTGAGCTTTTTAAGTATTGAAGAATGCTTAGTAAGTTCTGCCTTCTACTTTCTTTTCAAAAAATGTTGGAAAGAATGCCAAAAATAGATAAAGCAGTAATTAAGGCAGGTTGTGGTTTTATTGTACAAAACAAAATATGATGCTGTTATATGATAATATATTATATTTGTCAAAATGAAAGCAGTTATACTACAGCTACAGAAATTTGATCTTTTGCTTTAAAAAATACAAAAAATATATCATTTTAAGGCGTTTAATAAAGAAATACAGCGTGGCTAGAAACTTTTTGCCAGGAGTGTATAATTATCATATTGCGTAGCAGGGGTTTTGAACGTGTGAAGATGTCCCGCAGAAAACGGCAAAGATTTTCGGCATCTTGAAGATTTTTATTTTCTCTTTTAAGTTCTGTTACGAAAAAAAATATTTGCCTATCAGTAATGAAACTGCTTATATGCAAATATTACAGTGCCAGATTTTCTTACATGTTCTGTAATCTCTTGTATGAAATTCCTGCATTCTTTCATTGCTTGAAATCATGAAATATAGAACATAGAGTTTCAAGAAGCGGGATTTGAGAAGTCCTCCCGAATTTTCTAGACACAGTAAGTGTTTTGGATCTAGCATTAAATAGTCTCCATCAATAGCCGCAGCGGAAACTGATCAGAACAGAAAAAAGATTATCCAAAGAAAACTGTCTATATTTTTTCTGAGATGAGGTATTATGTACAGTATTTACATTAGTCGGACTATTGTTCTCATCTTTGTCGCCATATTTGTCACAACGTTTCGGCCGTTGTACGCTCCGGCCTTCTTCACGTGGTTGGAATTTCGAACTGAACTCTTTATTTCGATCACTGGGGTAGACTGTTCTAGTTCCACGTGCCATGTTTGATAGATGTCAGTTATCAGTTATCTCCTGCTAATTTTCCCTCTGAAAGTTCTCCACTGCCTTAACCAGGTATTGAACTCACCTTCTTTGGGTCTGTCACTGGATCTAACCAACGCCTTTATCCACTGTGCCATGTGTCCTCAAGTTCGAACCCTGGATCTAACCAACCCTGGACCTATAAAGGGTTCAGTTCGAAATTCCAATCACCTGAAGAAGGCCGGAGCGTACAACGACCGAAACGTTGTGACAAATATGGCGACAAAGATGAGGACAATAGTCCGACTAGTGTAAATACTGTCCAAAGAAAACTGCAAGATGAATGATGGTTGAATGAGACTTAACAAACTTGGTGTCAATTGATACTACTGAATGCATCAGTTATTAAACAAAGGTATTTTAACTAAGAGGCTAAGGGCCACATCATGTGGAAACAGCAGTTCCCGTACGATCACCGAAGTTAAGCAACGTCGAAACTGGTCAGTACTTAGATGGATGACGGCTTGGGAATACCAGGTACGGTAAGTTTGAATGTGCGAGTGATGTAATGGACAATGGCTCGAAATTTTTAAGCAGAGAACCGTGTTCCAATTCCGTCGGCTTCGTTATATGTACTTAATTGGCTTAGACATATATATTTAATTGGCTTCAATATATGTACTTACGCTCAAATATCATTGGAAAAGGTATGAATTCACCTCTTCTCCCACAAGCCTTTGGATTAATAGTAAGACTTTTATCACTAAACAATTATTATCACCGAAAAGAAAAATACTTACAATCTAAAAAAGTTTTCTGGCTTTAAATTACCTGAAAAATGCTGATAAAGATTCACCGGGTATAAGAGAAACGATACACCGGGTATAAGAAAAAAATTGTCCAATTGTTAGAGTAAGATCTGAACCGGTGTATCTGAAAAAATGATTAACGATATCTTACAGGATTTCTACGATGGTTTACACACTATTGGACTGTAATTTAGGCAGTAGAATGTATAATTACTCTAAAAGCTTAACAGAAGAGTCGTGATGAAATCGATCATAAACGAAAATGACACGTTCATCATTAATTAATCATAGCTAAGGATTGGAAGCACATGAAGTATTGAAATAAAGTTCATATATATATATATATATATATATATATATATATATATATATATATATATATTCCAGGATCATTTTCCAACTTATTCAAGATGATCTTCGTCCTCTCTAAACAGCTAGCTTTCTGTCTTGAAGTAACAAGGTGCCTAACATGTTTCACCTACGATTTCGTTTACAAATCTCTTTTCAATGCTCTTTGAAATGTCATAGCTGAAACCCCTTTCTCGCATGCCAAATGTCTTATGAAATGAGTTGGATCTTTTCTAACTGACCTATTTAAATGGTTGAAATAATGATCCCTCTTTCACGTGTGACCTCCTGATTCTGTTTTCCTCTCTACTGTTCCTTCTTTTTAAAACTTATTCACCATTCTCTTGATGGTTCTTGAATAAACATTGAAGATGGAAGCCAGAGTATGAATGTTGGTACCATAACTGAAGGCTTGAATGATGTTTTTCATCTCACCATTGCTCATTTGGGAAGACAATGTCTCTGATACACAACGATTTTATCCTGGTCTCTTTCTGGTTGAAAAACTCAAAGGATTTATCAGTGATTCTTACAAAAAAAAAAAAAAATGGTGTCAAGTTGGCTAAACGTCTTATCTGAAAACTGGGAAAAAAGAAACTCAATTAGTTTTGATTTTTTTTTAGCTATTGTATATTTTTTAGGATAGACTATTATGTTATATTTGGACAATTTAGCTGTTACACCCTTTATATATATGAATGAGTGTATGTATGTTTGTTTATTTGAATTATTTATATGTGTATGCGTTCATGTGGGCGTTTTCTGGAGTGCATTTGTGTACTCGTGTGAGTGTGTGTATGCGATGGGTGTTTACATATATCCGTTGAATTATGTACATTGTAACGTTGCAATTTTAATGAATACACAGACACGTATATATATATATATATATATATATATATATATATATATATATATATATATATATATTTTCTTAAGAGTTAATGGATTTATTTTTAATCCAAGATTTTATTAGTTCCATCGTTATTTCTAGGGGAAAAAATAATAAAGAGAGTGAGCCCACTCCCTTTATTAAGTTTTTTCGAGTGCGAAGTGCGGAGGCGGATAGACGTAATAAAATTTTTTTAAATGGACAAAAAAATCGGTTTCAAACATTATTACGCATTAAAAATAACGTTTGAAAAATGACACACACACACACACACACACACAGACTCACGCGCACACACACATGCACACATACAAGCGCGCGCACACACACACACACATATATATATATATATATATCATTTATTCAAAAATTATGAAATAAACATGTTATAGCTTCACTTCAAAAATAGCCATTTTGTTTCAAAACTTATGTTGTCTTCCCAAGTGATGGTGTAGAATGTAGTACATTATATATATATATATATATATATATATATATATATATATGTAATATATTATATATATAAAAATTTATTTAAACGCGGTGGGTGAAAAACCTGGATAACACAATTTTCAGATAAAATGGCATCCGAAGAAAAAATGGGGAAAAAAAGTAACCTTAGAACAGTGCGAAAAATTCGGCTAGTACCTTAAATTTCTGTTACAAAGAAAAAAAGACAACATGTAACAATTTAAATAATAAATTAATATCTATCTCTCTCTCTCTCTCTCTCTCTCTCTCTCTCTATATATATATATATATATATATATATATATATATATATATATATATATATATATATGTATAACTAATCGTAGTTATATATAAACGGCAGTACTTCATTAAAACATGTAAAATGGACACAGAGGTCAACACCGAACAGTGACACTTTGTATTATACTTGAACGCAATCTGCCGTCTACGTTTGTTGTGCTTTGGATCATCAACTTATATATCATGTTAAATGGTGTACTATGGGTAGAAAGGAATATTGCATTATGCTAACGCTTATTGAATAAGCGGTAATGGTTATGTTTCAAATTAATTTCTCTGTAGAAATGTATTGATTTGTAAAAATTTTACAGTGTTGTTATGTATTTACTCATTATTTATTATTTTATTATTTGTTGTTTATTATTATCCCATTTACTTGTGCTTATGTGTGTATTTCTATCTTGTTTATTTGTTTATTATTAAATTTGTTATTTATTTATTTAGATATTTGGATTAGTACAATTTTTTCGAGGGTTTGTTTAGTTTAAAATATTGTCTTTGTGTAAAATACATTGTACATAGGGCATATATTTGGTTCTATCTGGTGGTATTTTACAAGGTATCCTTTTCTAATTTTCAGTATGAAAATCTCTCTAAATGGAGACAACGTAACGTTTCATCAGTATTGTAAACGTGACAATTAAAATAATTCCGGTAAAATTGAAAACAGAGATAAAAATACATCCAGAAAAAAAATATGGGAATATTTCTTTAAAAATGCTTATTTTACCTCTTTGAGGTGTAGGCGATCATGGCTCTCCACAGATTCGGTTATCTGTGGATTTCCATGTCTTCCTGGAAACGATAGCTCTCCTTGCTTTCTTTTCTTCTTTTGACATCAGCGTTTCCCGTCTTCTACAGTAGCTACCAGTGAAAGTTAGAGAGCCCAGGTTATTTAACGTTGCCTGGGGTTCGGATAGACCATCTTTGCTTTTTCCCTATAGTACTTCGGATCAGATTGATAAGATCAAATTGGAGACAGATCTCAAAAATGACATACAGTCTGATTTAATTTTAACGCCTCCAAAATGAAACTACTCTCCATTAATAATCTGGGTGACCCCTTTCTGCCTTCCATCATAGCTGATGCTAACCCCCAAGAAAGTGACTCGATCTTCCTTTTCGGGATAACAAATGAAAGTAGAAAGACTACAGTGAAATTTTTTGTTATGTCTGCTGTTACAAAAGGTGGATCACTGTGTCATGCTAGACATTTTTTTCTCTTCTGAAGCTATCATATCGATATGTCTACCATTTGTCCATGTTTCGAATATTCGATACTCCTTCTATAAATTTAGAGATTCTTGATAACGTTCAAAGAAAATAGACAATATTATTAGCCCTGACCTGGTGTTTCGTCTTCACTTTTCCATCGACGTGGAGTTGCTTCCCTGTGACTTTTTAAAAAAATAAAACTGTCATGGTAATTGTTCTAATAAGATCTTTCCTATGGTACCTAGACTTTATGAATTGAAGCGCAATACTAGATTAGCAACAAGACTTCATCAATTTACAGTTAAAGTGGCTAGATTTAGCTGTAAGTTGTATGTTAACAATTTCTTTTCTCGTACTCCTCGCTTGTGGAACTCTCTACCAGCTTCTTGCTTTCCAGTCAACTTTGATCTTCAAAAATCTAAACGCAATATCAATCACCATCAAATGTTTTCCTGAATACTCTTCTGTTGTTCTCGCTGCTCAATAATGCTTCTGTTTTTTTATTCTTTCCCACACAGGAAACCCTTGTGACCTAGGGACTTGACTGCCTTGCATGTAGTGAATTCGATTAAGAAAAAAAACACATATGTGAGAAAATGAACGCAACAGTCTAGGCAGACATTTGAAATCTGCTCGCCAAGAACAGACACGCTACTCTTAACGTATATATTTTATTATAAAAAAATAATTTGGATATTTCACAGCGGGGCAACACGTGGTATCCATATTGTAATTTATATCCAATATCATGAGAGCTAACCAGAGATTAATTTTGTTTAAAATAATAGTATTTTTTTGTTATCTGTGCTAATCCAAGCACCTGTTATCTGACAGAATTTATTTATTAAGGAAAAAATGTATGCTGGTAAATGTGAGTGTGATTTATTAATCAGTGTGTTAATTTGGTCTGTTAATTGTTAGTATATATCCTGATGTATGAATCTAATTGCCTATTGAATGGAAAATGTCAACATGAATATCATTATGATTAGGATCTTTCTCGCTAAATATGCGTGCATGGCGGCTGTTCGGAATGAGAACTCGGTGAGCCGAGTTCGAATTTCAGTAGGGATCGTTAGATTCACTTACGCGCAAATACACTTGTGAAAGGAATGAATCCAACTCTTTTCCTCTCTAAATAGCATGGCCCCATAACTTTGGCTAGCAGCGTGTATAGGTTAAAAAAAAATAGAATTCAAGACAGCCTGGAGTGGGTTGGGTTCTGTCAAGCTATCATACCCAAGACTCTGTGTTACGGGACTCGTGATCGTGATCATTAAATATATATTCTGAGCGCCCTTAATTCCCGTGAAGTGGATAAAATAATAATGACAATAATAAATATTATTTTAGCGAAATGGATTGTTTTTAATGAGGATATTCGAAATTAAATTAATTCTTTTTCAAACCTAAAGCTTTCTGTCATAACTTATATACTTATTAATAGTTTAAATAGAATTATATACGCAATATAAAATGCAGATAAGGCAACATAGTTTTGACAAAG